TTTTCATGAATTAAGAGCTCGATTTTCATCAATGAATTTCAAACAACGTTAAAGAATAAGTATGGTTTATTCATCACAAATGGCTTTTTTTTGTCATTTATAAGTCACTCTCAAGATCAACAATTATGTGAACACATTCCACCATCCCAAAGAGTTAGTTTAATTTGTAAATAAATGCGAAAACTTCGGATTTAAACCCGAGAGTTATGTGTACTTCAAAAAGTGAATCATACAAATCAATCATCCTAGACTGTCTGAATATCAAAATTATACTGTGAAATCTACCATTTAAAATGTTGATTTCTATTGCGCGTTGCCAAACCAATAGGACATGGGACCGAATACAGCTCAAGTTTGAACTCTTTCCCTTGATTTACCCTAAGAAAGTCGTTTTTCCTATAACTTCATTTCTATTGGTCACTGCGCAACTAACAGTATTTTGATGGAAGCGCAGTACACATTCGAGTTCTCCATATCTGAAAACCTCGAAGTATCATCAGTGTGACCGGAAGATAAAGCTCTATTTGTGGATCAATTAGATCGTGGACCAAAATATAACCTACTTCTCTTTAATTGTCCTTGCCATTGGTAAGTCAACCTTCTTGTTTCTTTATGTTTTATATATCATTTTGTAGTTCTTGAAGTTCTCTATCGAATGGTATATAATAGTTGGGGTTTTAATTGACTATGATAGGAAAAGTCTTTTACGAAAGTCGCGATGGGTCCATTTTTCCACAGAAAGCTATAGGGAAAAATGAGTATTTTTGCAATAACTCAGGAACGGCTCAGCCGATCCTGCTCATCTTCGAACTCGACCGAGATATTGTCAAGACTAAGCTGTGTAGAAAGTTTCATCGCAATCTGACTCTGCTGTCAAAAGTTATCATGTAAACAGCCAACCGGACGGACGGACACACTGACTATTCTATAGTGTACTCACTTTTTGAGTACACAAAACTATGATTCAGTTCAAAACTAATATCAGATTCAGAATCAGCGTTAAAAACTGAGTCGATTTATGTATTTTGTGAATAATTATGAGCAAAAAATTTTTTTTCGAAAAATCCCCGTACCCCCCCTCAGGGATGGTCTGGTCAAAAATCACAATTTTTTCGATAACTCAGCCATTTCTTGGCGGATCCTTCTCATCTTCGAACTCGACCGAGATATTGTTAAGACTAAGCTGTGTAGAAAATTTCATTGCAATCTGACTCTCCTTTCGAAAGTTATCGTGTTAACGGCCGGCCGGATGGACGGCCGGACGGACGGACACACAGACCGATTTTAGTAGTGTACTCACTTTTTGAGTACACTAAAAATAATCTAGATATTGTATATCTGATGTTAAATCGCGTTACAAGACATGTACACGTTTGAGTTTTTAATGAAGCTCTACATCAATTAATTACTAAACAAGATTTATTGTAAAATATTTTCGAACATATATATGTTTTCATACATCAATTCTTTTCGAAATATCACTTGATTGATAATAATAGTCTTTATGATAAAGATATTGATGTTGAATTGATAGTTACTATTTGTAATGATTTATCATGTATAGATGATAGTTCCAAAGAAATAGAGATTATTGTTATTCATTATTTTACTTTTTTCTTACTGTTTATTCTAATTTTAAGGACTGATATTCAGAGTTTTTAGAACATATTATTTTAAATAAGAATCTTCAACTCATATTAATAAATTGTTGATGTTGTACTATCATCACTTGATGATGAGATATATTTAGGGATTTTGTTCAATGGGTCAACGATAAAAGTTTTGCTCCGAAATAATTCGAAACGGTTTCTGTATCAATTTTTGATGAAATCATGAATTAACCAGCGTCGAATAAATATTCTTTTTGGTTCTTACTCACATTGATATATCATTATTGTAAATTTAGCTTATTTAGTTTTGTCTCTATATATTACATTACACACTATAATATAACTATATGTCTTTTAGGTTCTGCTCAGAGATATTTCTAAAGTAAATCGATATCTCAATAAATCTTAAAATGATGAAAAATTAACGTTGTATTTTCGTGTATCCATGTTTCGTGCACACAAATTATATTTTGTTTTGGTGTCTGACAAAGATGTCATAGTTGCTGTTGTCATTGATCTTTGTATTTGTCTTTCTTGTTATCATTCGTATTTCTAGATATGCTACTAGCACCGACTTTATAAAAAGATTTGTTTACATTATTCTATAAAGAATTCTTGTAATGCGAAAACAAGAAACTATGCTTATAACTTGTTTTATATTCTTTACGAAACTACTCATTAAAACTCAGTACTGTAGCTGAAAATTCACGAGAAGCTATTTACTTGTTAACAAAAAACAAAAAAATACAAGTTCATCCAGAAAACACAATAAAGAACATGTACACATTAGACCATTTTTTCGTGATTACGATTTTTTAAATTATTTTTTCGTTGCATAAAGAACAAACCAGAAAACTTGATTCGATACTTGTAAAATTTGTCTTTATGATGAAAAGATACAGTAAAACACACTCTACAATATGATTTTTTGTTCACTTCACTATTTCATATAGTGAGAATTGAAATAAGAATGCAACGTAACTCGTTCGTAAAGTCTCAGAGGACAAATTCTTTGTGTAAAATTGAAGATATATCTTGTTACGATTCTTTTTTTGAATTACAAATAAATAAACTATCTGATAAGATCCTCAAGCAAGGTCGAGCTTAGTTATGGTAACTGCTTCACTTCCATTAAAAAGCCACATTTTTTCTTTATTGTTAGAAAGTTTTACCTCAACAAATTCTTTTAAACTTTCAGTAAAAAAGATAAAACATTCAATGAAACAAAAATAAATCAAACTATTTATAAAATCTTCTTTTCAATTCACATATACAACATGACAGAACAATGAAAAAGAAAAGAAATTAAACAAAATAATAAGACACTACTGTCAACTGTACTTTCTTAAAGATGATTGAAACTTTCATTTATTTTGTATCATGACATGATCATTGCTTATACTATTGTGATTTCTATGATCATATATTGATGAAAAATGACTCGTATAGAAATTTGAATAATGTTTTTTTTTTCTTAGTCTTTTTAAATTTATGACATTTATTTTCCACATAGTTATTTCTCAACAGGTACTTTGTAGAAAATCTTGATCACCTGACAAATAAATATATTGAAATTAGATTCAAATAGCATCCTCATATCTCAACATTCCGATATTTCTATGATTTTAAAGAGATACATATATATTAACAGTTATTTGAATGTTACGTTAATAGAGAAGCACAGCTATCAAGTCGAATTACCAAATCAGTTTTACATCTCATTTTTCGCGCAATTATTTATGGATGATATCAATTTATTATTTAAACTTTAAATTGAAAAAAAAAGAACATGATTTTATTTTATTATTATTATCTATGAGCATAAGCCAGAAAATTTGTTTGATTATAATAAAAGTCGATTGTTTTATCAATACATACTTCTCCTCCAGTTGGACCAAGATCTGAGCAATGTATAGATGGAAATGAAGGTACAAAATATGTATGAATAAAACGGCAAATAACATTTCCTTGATCTCCTCTTGGGTGTGGGTGTAGGCATGAGTGGTTCTTTGGTAACTAGCACCCACACACCCACACCCACATCGCAGCTGATTTTTTTTCTTAGGATAGACCACAGATTGAAGTTCTTATTCATGTTGAAACAATCCATCCATACATATTAAATTAGCAAACTGTTCTTTTTTTCTTATATTTATTTGTTAATAAATGTCAAATATAAAATAATCAAAAAAAAAAGAAAAAGCCAATATTCTTCAATTTTTTGTCGATCTTTTTCAATTTGTAAAATTTTTTTTGTTAAACAATTTGAATTTGAATCATCGAAAAATGTTCGTTTAATAGAATTATTTGTTGATTGATCAAAAAAAAGATTTTTTTCATTTCTTTTAATAAGAATATTATCTTGATTATCATTTGAATTATTTATTTTTGATATTGTTGAAATAGTTGTTAAAAGTTTACCATCTTCAGTTCGAGTTCGAACCGTCTGTACTGTATTATTTGCACCTAGAATTTATTTATTTAAAGAAAAATAGAAGAAAAGAATTTCAATATGATTTATATAATTTCAATTCAATTAGATTTAATGAATTTTATAAATAATAGTATTATTTTATTAATTTATTTAATATGTTAATTACTTGTTTATTTGAATAGGTCAACTAACAACTATTTTACTAAATATTTATTTATGTCATATATTTACATAATATGAGAGAAAAACAAATGTTTGAATAAATAAATAAATTTTATATTATTATATGTCAATATGATGTTGAATAATATATTCAATTAAGTTAAATAAAATTCGTCGAAATATAAAAATGGTTCTTATGTATTTATTTAATTGTAGACAAATAAAAATTCTTATTTGTTTTATATTATATAAAAGAGAAGAGTCTAATAAATAAATTCTATGTCGATTAATTCAACTAAGATTTTATTTATTTGACTAGAATTTTTTAATGAAAATTTTTCAAATCTAATCAAAGATTTAATTCCAACGTAGATTTTATTAAAAAGAAAAATTCTATATCGAAAATTCAATTGAGAATTCGACTTCTGTTTTTTAATGAATTATCTTGTTAAGAATCGATATATCGTCTATATTTTAATTCGTTGTCGATTAAATAACTTGTATATA